GTTCTGAGGGCCGGGCCGGCACATGCAGGGCATCTGAGACCCCTTTGAGTTAGAGATGGTGAAAGCGAGCGAAGGTATTATTTCAAACAGAGCCTGGGGCTGGTTTTCCTACGTAGCTTCTATTATTATTGTATTCAAATCAGGCATAAGGTCTATGTTTGTTTGCTAACCGGATTTCTTCCTCCCATCCCAAGGTATTTTCATATGCTAATTTTGTACAGGGGGCATGGGAACAGATTTAGCATGATTATGCAAATACTATTGGGGGGGGGGCTCATTACCAAACAAAAATAGAGCTTTTGAGATAGATGCATAAAAATACAGTAGATCAGAAGATGGCACACTTCATTTGTAAAGAGCCAGATAGTAAATATTTTAGACTTTACAGACCCTACCGGTCCCGACCCATAACGACCCTGTAGCACAAAGTAGAACTGACTCTGTGGGTTTCCAAGACTGTACATCTCTAAGGGAGTCCAAAGTCTCATCTTTCTCCCTAAGAGGAGCTGGCGGTTTAGAACTGTTTCCCTTATGGTTAGCGGTCCCATGAATCATCCAGCGGGGCTCCTAAATCTCTCTATATAGTGATAACCATGAGGGAGCTTCACAAAGCTCACGGAAAATTTGAATTAAAGAGATAAGGAAATATTGCCCTGAACTTTCTTTATCTGTGTCTACATAAATGGATACGGAACCCTTGTGGTGCTGTGGCTACTCATTGGGCTGCTAACCACAACCAATGTCAACCGTCTGAAACCAGCAGCCACTCCTCGGATAAAAGACAAAGCTGCCTACTCCCGTGAAGAGTTGCAGTCTCAGGCACCCACGGGGACACTTCTACCCCGTCCTATGGAGTTGCTGTGAGTCTCAACTGACCCAATGGAAGTGAGTTTGGTTTACACACACACACACACACACACACACACACACACACACACACACTGCCATTGAGTCTATTCTGACTCATCGTCACCCTATGACATCGTAGTTCTGCCCCTGTGGGTTTCCGAGGCTGCAAATCCTTATGGGAATAGGAAGCCTCAACTTTCCCGAAAGTAGCAGCTGATGGGTGTGAACTGCTGACTCTGCACTTAATAGCCCAACACACAAGCCACTACGCCACCTAGGCGCCTGCACGCCCACGCACACATACAGATAGGTCCCCAGTGGAACCAACGGGTGTCTCAGGAGACAGACGTGGTGGTCGGCTTCCGGGAGGTCACATCCTTAAAACCCCTGGAGCAGCTCACCCTGCACACACGGGGTCAGCACGGGTTGGATCGACTTGGAACAGGTTGCAACTGTGTATGGGCATGCGTGCATGCACGGACACACGCACGAGCCATGCCTGCCCCGCACATCACTTGTCTAGAGAGCCCTGGCACAGCATGAGAGCAGCGCGGTGCATCCGAGGGAAGCATCAGGGAGGGCACTTACCCGAGCCTTCACGTATTTCTTGACAGCATTGGAGAAAAAGAATTCGAGACGGAGTGAGCACCCATCCAGAGGACAAACAGCAGCAGCATCGCCACATGCCCGCCCAGGGGGTGGGGTGAGGGGTGAGGGATGGGGGCTCTGGACAGCCACGGAGGAAGCTAGATAGAGTGAGGGGGGCGCGACAGTGACAGACAGAACTTGACCCGCTCCCGCGCCAGTGGAACAAGCAGAGGAAACCAGCAAAAGAGGGGTGGGGGTGTTCCGGTTTGTCCTCGTCTGGACCGCTAAGCTGCTGGAATTCGGTTCAGGGATGACTCCGTTCCTTCGGCTGAGGGCTGACAGTGCCTCGACCCCCGAGTGGTGGGCACAGGATGCTGGGCACCACGACGCCAACTTACTGAACCGGACCGTGGGAGAAGGAAGACAAGGACCAGAGGCCGCCAATGCTCACCATGGAGCGCTCCAACGGAATGACCTGATGTTGGTAGACTGCCTTCATGCTCTGGACGCTTGCGATCAGGGAGTCTTTCAAAGTTCCTTGTGGCTACAAAGAGAGGGAAACACATAGCAATCAACCCCCACTGCCCAACTCTGTGCGTTCTCCCTAACTCTAGGAGGGAGCACCAGGCAGGCCCCAGCCTGTAGGCTTCCCTGACGCTGATGGTCACTAGTGCTGGAGGGGAAGGGCGGAGAGAACGGGCTTCAAATTCTAGACGCGGACTCTCGGCAAACACTCAAACCCACTAGCCCTTCCCACGTCCCCAAGGCTGTCGTTTCTTGTTCTCGGGCAACATCCCCCTTTTACAGATGAGGAGACCAGAGCTCAGCGGGCACTTTCCATTGATTTAGCCCGTACTTCAATGGTGTTGGGAGCCCTGGTGGTGTCGGGGTTATGGGTTGGGCGGCTAACCACAGGGTCAGCCATTCGAAATGACCAGTCGCTCCAAGGGAGAACGAGCAGGCTTTCTAATGCCTGTCAAGAGAGGGTCCCAGTCTTGGAAAGCCACAGGGGGCAGAGTTCTACCCTCTCCCACAGGGTCTCTGTGAGCACAATGAACTCCATGGTGGTGAACCTGGTTAATTGTTGCGCCTGTTACATGGCGTCTGGTCTATGCCAGATCCTCTTTTACAAGTGCAACAGTGCTCATGGAGAGCCACATGTGAGAACAGTAGAGGCTGGAACGCACGGCAGACAACATGATTAAACCCACTGTGCACATGGGGGTGTTGAAACCTCTTGCCGATGACCCCACAGTTGGGGCATTTCTGAGTCCGGAGTTAAAGGTGGCTCCCACTCAGAGCCCACACTCCTCCTCACCATGCTCTGTGCTTGGAAGGAACCACCATTACCGAGTGGATGAAGGGGAAGTTTACCTACCAGGTCGGCAGGGTGGCTCTGCTCCCCTTTAACCACTTACTATCTCTAAGAATCATGGATTCTGTGGTGTCGCCTCCCTACCCCCCTGAAAACCCCCCAGGTGTCAACTTGGCTGGGCCATGGTCCTCAGTGGTTTGGCAGTGATATGATGCCCCCCGCCCCCCAGGATGGTGTTTGAGGTGATAAACCAGTAAGACGATTGAAGGTAAGATATCGCACCCATAATCCAGTCACAGCTCTGATCCAATATAAGGGGGGCATGGCCCGGACCACCTCTTATCTTACAAGAGATCAAAGGAAAAGAGAAGAGAGTGGAGATCAGAGGGACCTCCCACCACCAGGAGAGAAGAGTGGGGAGCGGAGTGTGTCTTTTGGGCCTGGGGTCCCTGCGCTGAGAAACAACTAGCCCCAGGGGAAGACTGATTCCAAGACACTCGGAAGGCTGCTCCTCGAGAGGCTGAAAAGAGACAAGGCTCCTCCTCCTACACTGTGCGCCCACGGAGAGAGGAAGCCTGCTCCGAGGGCTGGAGCCATGACTCTGGAGTTCTAGTCCCCCAACACTGAGCCAGAATGCATTCCTGTTTGTTAAAGCCAACTGGCACTGATTTCTATTAAAGCAGTCCTAGAGAAGGACGATATTAAAACACTAGATACAAATCTTCCTCCTCTCATGCCATCGGCTACCATTCTTCTGCACTGCAAGGGGCATGGTGAGCCTGTGTGCAGGAATATGTGTGTGTGTGTTTGTGTGTGGGTATGTGTCTCAGAAGAGGGCGTGGAGGGGCTGATGGGATGCCACGTGCTATAGCAGTGAGACCCCAGCCCTGAGCACAGCGCTGGTCCTGTGGGGACGGATGTGCACAGCCTGCAGCAGCCCTGGCCACAGTCACTGTCCACAGTGGTGGTGGGGCATGCTGCCACACTGCCAACAAGGGTGGTCAGAACCAAGACCTAGGCTTGTTAGAAAGGACCTCTTCGGCCACGTCCCTGAGAGCGCCACTGCCGTCAGACAGCCACAACCATCCCAGCATGTCAATGAACTCTATGGGGAGAAGGGCGGGGCTCTCTACCGCTGTCTGGTTCTACCCCGTCCTACAGGGTCGCTATGAGTCGGCATCGCCTCGACTGCAGCATGAACTCACCAAGTGGCTTGCCGTTTCATCCAGATTCTCAGCAAATGAAAGAAGATTCATTTTGGTGGGGGGTTTACTGGCCTTAAAAAAGAAGAAGAAGAAGAGAAAAACATTTGAAATGGAGATGATTTTCTTTAAAAAACAAAACAAAACACATAAGCTTAACATATACGTAACAGATTTAAAACTGGGTTCCTAACTATATAAAAGCAGGGAGCCCTGGGGTGTGGTGGGCTACGCATTGAGCTGCTCACGGCAAGGTCAGTGGTACATTTACTAGCTGCTCCACATGAGAAAGATGGGGCTGCCTGCTCCCCTAAAGATTGAGAAACCCTGAGGAGTAGTTATACTCTGCCCTACAAGGGTTGAGGGCTCTGATGGCATAGAGGGTTGTGCATTGAACTGTGAACCAAAAGATGAGCAGTTCGAACCCACCAGCTGTTCCACTGGAGAAAGATAAGGCTTCCTACTCTTTTAAAGAGCCAGAATCTTGGAAACCCACATAGGCAGTTCTACCTTGTCCTATAGGGTGGCTATGAGTCGGCACTGACTCAACGGAAGTTTAAAACGCTTCTGTAGGTGGTCTTGCTTTCTTGAGAATGACCTTGTCGCACTTTGAACATTTTGCATTTTTCTCAAGGTGAACGTTGGCAACCAAGCTGGGTCGAGCAAGTGTGTGGGTGGCATTTTCCCAATAGCGTGTGCTCACGCTATGCCTCTGTGTCACACTGTGGTTGTTCCCACAGTCCACTGCCTAGTGTTGACATATTTTCACACATGACAGGAAAACGCAACAACAACAAATCCACAGGGGACTTGATTTATGGTGGCACTGGCTTTATCACAGTGGTCAGGGAATGCACCCCAATGTCTCTAAGACCTGAATCGATAAATGCACGTACACACACACACACACACACACATACACATGTGTTCTCATTGCTCCTAGAAACTCAGGTGAGAACACCTGGGTCATACCTCCATCAAGTAAGCTGTATAGTTGATCTGGTTGATTCCCGTAGCCACAAAATCTCCCAGGTTCTGTCTTCCTGCATCGTTCAGCAGAACTATATTGCCAAAGTCTATGTTCAGTTGATTAAATTTGTTGTTTATGTCTTCTGTGTACTGCGGGATGATAAGAGAAATTGTGAGTAAATTCATCACTCGCCAACATTTTCATACACTTAATGCTTTCACAGTGGGTTACACACTGGGCTGATAACCATAGGTCAGCAGTTCAAAACTGCTCCTAGGGTTGAAAAGCCAGATTTTCTACTCCGATAAAAAATTACAATCTCAGAAACCCACAAGGGCAAATCCACTGTGTCCTATAGGGTCCTTATGAGTCAGAATCGACTCATTGGCAGTGAATTTGTGTTTGAGTGCCTGATGGAGCCCTGGTGGTGCTGTGGGTTATGAGCTGAGCTGCTAATCATAAGGTCAGCAGTTCAAAACCACCAGCCCCTCCTAGAGAGAAAGTTGAGGCTTTCTACCCCTGTCAAGAGTTATCATCTCAGCAAAGCGCCGGGGCTGTTCTCCCCTTGGTCCTGCAGGATTGCTATGAGTCAGAACTGACTTGATGGCAGTGAGTTTGAGCTTAGAAGGCATGAAAGTCCCCAGTGATGCTGTGGGTTAGGCCTTGGGCTTCTAACCACAAGACTGGTGTTTGAAATCCACCAACCATGCTGAGGTTGTCTATTCTGGGTAAGGTTCATCATCTGGAAACCTGTCCTAGGGCTGCTTTGAGTCAGAATCAAGCCAAAGGCAGTGGGCTTGGTTTTGATTTTTGATTTCAGAGAGTGAGAAAACTACACCCAAATCCATGCCGGTGGTGTCGATGCTGAGTTCATAGGAACCCCGTGCGGTTTCCTAATTCTAGAGCCTTGCACATTTCATCATCATGCTTTACTTTGTCTTTCCGACCTGCCCTTGAAGTTTTCTGTTCAGCTCCTCGGTTTCATCATTCCATCCATTTGCCTTAGCTACTCAACAATCAAGAACAAGTCTCAGAGTCTCTTCTAACATCCACAAGGATCCTTTCTTTCTTGCCTGTCTTTTTAACGACCTTTTAATTTCTTCACGAATGATGTTCTTGATGTCCTCCCATAGCTTCTCAGGTCTTGTCATTAGAGGTCAGGGCGTCAAATCTACTTTTCAGATGGTCTCCAAATTCAGGTGGGGTAGACTCACGGTCATATTTGGTCTCTTGTGGACTTATTTTCATTTTCTTCAGGTTCAACCTGAACTGATGAGTAATTGATAGCTTGTTCCACAGCCAGCCCCAAGCCTTGTTTGAGCTGCTAATATTA